ACGGCTAGAGCCCCTAGCGCGCGCGAGAGCGTGCGTAGCCGCCTGGTGAAACTGTATGGCAGCAACAACGGCCTCGTCAGTTCCGTCACATCAACCCCTGATTTCCTACGATCTGTCCGATCTGGTGTACAATCTGTTTCCATACCATACCCACATACCTACTCAAAAAGTGGCTTCTGAATATTTGGCTGGATAGTAGGTTTTTCATTTGGTATAAGATTTACAAAAACAATGATATTGTTTTGAACTTTACGGATGGTGGTGATGTTCATTCATTCGCTTCAATCGTTCACACTGTTCCACGAAAAGTCGGCCGGCGATTACGTCCGTAAGTGACTCGCTATTGAAGGACTCCCATGCGACAATCATACGTGACTTCTATGGATAAACAATCGAATGAGGGCACAGTCTTCAAATCTTTTTATGTGATGATAGGGTTATTTTCGAATTTAAATACTTTGTATGGGAATGAACGCCGAAATTAGGCAAAACCTCTTGAACGTAATAGTGTTTATGGGAGATTAAGCAGGAACAGCTCATTGAATTGACATGTGTGAATGCTGAAAAACGCCACATTAGAAATGCAAGACCAAACCAAACAAATGTTTTCCAATCGTGTAATTATGGCCTCGTAGCTAAGGCTACGCCCTGGTGGCTTTCTCATGAATGACATAGAGGAACAGATTGTGAGCACAGCGTCATGCCACCCACTCCTTGGAATGAAGTTTATTCTAACAACAAAACGATTCTACTGGAACGGTGGCTGAGAACCCCGTACAACCCTTCGCAGTATGGCAGTCGTACATGATTGGCCACCACGATACAGGTCATACCCTTACTACACTCCATGATTTGTACTGTTTATAAATGACTATCAAGCTTTGAGGTTGACTTGTGGTTTAAACTTAAGACGCTTGCTTTCTGACCGCTCAGCACTGCTGCGATAATAACAACCCTCCCTACTCGTTTTGAGCACGGTTGAGCTGCAGTGGTAACTTTCACCTGTATCATCTATGCTCTCGCTTCTCCTTTAGTAGGGCGGTAAGGAGCTGAAAAGACTTAGTCTGTCTTTGAAACATGCAAGATTTGTGTAATTGGTCCTCTGCTCTTGGATTGTTTTGAGGGATTACGCGAATCATCGAAAGCCTTAACGATGAAATCTGCCGATCGGGTTTTTGCGGGCTTACGCCCGTGGTTCTGATCCTCAGTACCATTCTGATATCCGTTTCACGTTTCAAGAGATACGATCGGAATAACGGTAAAGAGTTTTACGTCGCGCGGTGAGGGAACTAGCTGAAAATTACAGTGACTGACATCTGATCGGAGTCGGATACAGTCGGTACCATTGCCTAGTAAATCATCGTCTACAAACCAAGATTCATCAAAGCTCAACTGATTTGAGAAAACCCGATTTTTGAGCGTTTATCACAATAAAATCAACCGTTAATGCTGCAACTAGTCAGGAAAATGAAAGAGCAGGTGATAACGATGTTAGACCCAGACGGTTACCCTTCTGTGAATAACAATCAGTCAAACATCCTCCTTATCATATTTCTTCTGTGAGCTCTGAATCGTTTCCAGCTCGCATGTCGTGACCTTTACATTCAAAGAAGACCAAGGTGAATAACTACACATGGGTTNGTCCGCGGACGGGTAGGCACCGAAATGATTGAAGTAAAAGGGGGAACTTGTTCGAGCACAGTTTGACTGCCCGAAAAAAAGGAGAAAGCCGAGTTGTAGGTTTGCTAGCGAAATGATAAAAGGTCACCCGCAAACTATGGAATGCCCTCCAGTGACCTGTACTTACAGAAAAATCATATCGCGATTCCAGGACAGGCTAGAAACTAGAAAAAACTGCAGAAATGAAACAGGCCAGTCATATCAAACAAGGCGAAGCCCCGCCTACGAAGGGTGGGGCACTCTCCAAACTGCAACGTGCTTTCTTGGACTACATGGGTAGAGATCCGTGACATCACCTACAGACCACGTATGCTGTAGCAGCACTAAGTCCTATCCCGCCTCAACAGCTCTTTGTTCTACATAAAAGAACTAAAGTATGACAGAAAGCATAAAAAACAGGCTGGGAGGTGTAGAGCTGTCGAAGTCATGAGCGTAATGAATTAGACGTATAATCAAGATACACTGCTAGAAAAAACAGCCTGTGATGGAGTCAGTGACAGATGATTTTCTTTCAGTCCCCTTGTTAGCCCTAATGACAAAGAGCAAGAATTTCTTTGATGTAGAGATCGCTGAACTCCTTGAGAAGTTTGGTGACTAATGCAAAATAATAATTTCATGAAATGCGGTATTACAGCCGGAACGAAGGCGAAGTCGATGGAATCATCGCGGCCGACGTCGAAAGAAAGGAAGGGGAACAACGATGAAGTTCCATTGGATAAAACCGTAGGAACCCCTATAAATAAAGGATCTTTTAAAACATTGAAAGCCAAAACGAAAAATGATGATAAGACAGCGAAGGAGGAAGAAGGGAAAGATGGTCAAAAAAACTCAACAAAGCCTGAGTCGAAAACCTCTGGGGAGAAACTGGCAAAAACAGAAGGCGATGAGAAAGCAGCTGAAAAGCCACCTGGGCAGAAAAGTGAAATAACGAAAAAGGAGGATACGAAAAAGACGGATTCAAAACCCCACGACGATAAGGAAACTTCAAAAGCAGAACCAAAAGATGACTTAAAGTCGGAACCAAAATCGTCTGCTGAGAAATCGCATAACAAAACTACTGATGAGAAAACGGAAAAAACTTCGCCAGCTCCGACTGACTCAACGAGAAAGACGAGCTCAAAACCTTCCGACGATAAAGAAACCCCAAAAGCAGAGCCGAAAGAAGCAAAGAAGCCGGAACCAAAACCTTCTGCTGAGAAACCGGTGAACAAAGCTACTAGCGAGAAAGTAGCCAAAACTCCGCCGGCTCGGACTGATCAGTCAACGAAAAAGGCGGATTCGAAACCCACCGGCGATAAAGAAACCTCAAAAGCTGAACTAAAAGATGCAACAAAGCCGGAACCAAAATCTTCTAAAGAGAAGCTGGCGAAGAAAACAGCCGCTGAGAAAACAGCTGAAACTTCTCAGGTGAACCAGTTGAAAAATAAGGAGGAAACGCAGAAAGAAGAACCAAAAATACCAGAGTGAGTTCCTATTTAAATAAGCAGGCTTGAGAGAGCAACGACTTTTAGGTATTAAATAGTCCCTTTTCTGGGATGCGCCAGCCATTCGAGTACTACTCGGAGTAGTAATGGCGGCGTTGGCGGCGTTGGGTACCAGTTGATCAACCCCGGAGGGACAAAAGGTCCGGTTGGACTGGACGGGTGTCGATTTGGTCGAGTTCACACATATGCCATAAATAGGAGATCTCACTTAGGCTAGGATTTGGTGGCCCGGACCAGACAGCAATAGGTACCTGCATTGATATACAAGTGAAGTATGGGTAGAGATATGCTTCCATGGTTGTCCAGTCGATAATGATGGGCTGTTGCACTTGTAGGGTTTGATTGTGTAACGACCTTTTCTCCTCAGCTGTGAAATATGAAAAGGTCAGAGATGAGTAGCCGAAAACCGAAGTATTTCCGATGGGGCATTCCGCCTATGCGTCCTTACATCTATGCATGTCAATCCGGGATCTACTTTTGAAGGAAATGTTGAACGGGTGCTACCGTACTTTTAAAAGCAGATGCTCAAAATTCGTTCAGCGTATGGTTTTAAGAAAAGCAGAGTAGAGCTGAACCTTTTTAGCATAAGCGTGGACGCCACGCTACCAAGTCCTGACACAATATCAGAACGAATGGTTCTTTTGGAGCAAAGCATGCGTAATCGACCACCAAGACAGCCAAGAACTCCTGTTGAGAAGCTGGTAATGTCTTTCACATAGGTCTACATGACAATGTCAAGCATGGGTAGCGGAATTAATGGCAAGGGAATTGTCTATGAGAAAGGGATGGGTCAGGTTCTTCTGATTGAGTTGCTACTCCCCATATTTTTTGTACAATGAATAGGACCAGGGAAAACTTTTTCGGAAAGGAATCTAGTGTGAAAGCTGAAATGCCAGACATGACCGGAGATACGATAGAAATTGGGATAAAGGAAAAATCAGAGAAATATTTCAGACCTCACCCCAGCGGCTTCTCAGAACTGCATGGGAGGTGAGTGAATAATTGAACTTTCATCACTCAAACAATTCTAATTGCATCATAAATCAACAAACAATGGGCTGATGCAACGTGCACTACCAATCAAGGCCTTATCAGACGAAAAACGCCAAGTTTAACGAATTTCTCGGTTTAGCATCGAAGAGGCGAGGCGCGGTAGTGGATCGCTCCAAGAATGGCCGCATTCTGGGAGAGTTCTTTGGCATAGCATTTGAAGCAGCCGCGATGGAAACCAGCCAGCTAGATGCCTGCACTCTAGTATATTTATATTCATGTTTATTACATGAAATGACTCATCCGTCAAAATTCGATTCAAAAAGAAGAAAAGAAGCAGTACTAACAAAACTCCTACTAGCGTGATCACTACCCCCAGGTCTCTGCTCCCTTTTCAAAAGTCGTGGTGGCGAAATTGCTCTAAAAGCAGACGACGAAATCGGAAGCCCACAATCACGCTCCTCCCTTACCACCGAGATATAATCAGTGCATCATTTAGCTCAAAATCTGGTGTCATCTCTTTTCTTTCACCAACTTCCTCTCCGCCCAGCCTCACATCCATTGAGAGATCGTTGAAAACTTCCTTTCTTCCTCTTGCGACACGATTACCTCGATAACTATGTTGTACACAAGAAAAGAAGTTCTCAATTTAGGAACTTGAAAAAGAGGAGTGGTATCACGGAATGTTACCAATTGAAGATGTTAAAACTATGTTACACCAGAATGGCGATTTTTTAGTAAGGAAAGCAGAACACGAGATAAAGTCAAACCCGGTTTGTAATCTATCCATTCTTCAAACCATCTAGTCATTCACTTGGATCTCTTGAAACAAGGCGAAAAGTACGATACTGCGATAAAGATAAGAACCAACTTCAGCATTCATAAGGAGGCGGTCATGCCTGTGAGGGCGTGGTTTCCTGCATGCCATGGTGCAATCCTTCCAAGTTGGTCGCGATAAAGTCACATGCTATTCTCCAGCCGCCTCGCTCCCTCTTACATATTGTTAATAGAATTCCTGCAATCCAAACACCAGCTCGAAATGTTTATCCATAGAAGTGGTTTTATCTAAACTTTTTAAAATGTATTATACCTTGTTTAGCCCATAATAACAGTAATGTGGAATGGCATACTTCATCATTTTCCTCTTTACGCTGTGCAACGTACGAAGTTCAGTTCGCCGGAATTCAGCATAAATCTACAAGTATATTGTGACACTTACAACAGTCTCGTTGCGTATGTGTCTTTATTCACATCATATCCTTCTCAATTCCACTTCTTACCCATTATTTGTTTAGTAAGCATTGGATGGAGAAAATACCTGTCTTCAAGGACATTATACTGATTACAGCAGCTCCCAAGCAGGTATCGAAAACATATTCTTGGCAAAGCAAGCATCCAATATTCTGAAGCAAAAGATAGATGCTAAGATACTACACAACTACGCGTCAAAAATCATCACTAACTCTTCAGGTTTACCAGGTGGTTACCATTGCGTTCAAATTTGGAGGGCTGACTAGCGGAAGCCAACTCTAACACATATTTGGACGTACTGGTACAGGAGAAACAGTGTTTTAAAGGACTCCCGGACAAACACACATACACCGACACCCACCCACACGCATACAGAAACACTTGCACACACCTACACGTCCACATCACACGCACCGACAGACCAACAGACATACTAAGGGCGTTGTACATATATTAGAATACTACACGATCTTGCCACCGTTGTTCAATGGCACTCTAAGGCCTTGGCTGTGTGAATCAACATAAGAAAAGAAAAAAGATAGCATAAAAAAGATGAAAATTGTCTCCCTGAACTGTAGCGATGAGTTTGCCAGAGGACCTCTTTTACGATGTGTATGTTCTATTCGAGCAGCTCGTTCAAGATTCGCTAAGCATGAACGCGGTACGATCATTGTAAAAAAAATGTAAATGGCGTAAGAACAATGAGAATCGCGCAAAACTTGGAAAAAAGGAATAAAAACACCAATTACAAAATCTCAACACTATGAAGGCATGGGAACTTGACAAAACGAACGTCACGATGGATACCAAAATTGGTGAAGGGCATTTCGGCGAAGTATGGAAGGGACAACTGAAAACCAGAATTGGTGAATCCATTGTTGTGGCTGTGAAAGTCGTAAGTTTTTGAGAATCCCTTAATCAGAAACAGTCCCTAATCAATGCTTAAGATGAAAGTCAATTCGAATACTCAACACCAACTTGAAATGTTCCATCAAGAGGCGCGACTGATGCGGATGTATGATCATCGGTCAGTAACCAATATCAATTACTTGATAATGGAAAAGAGATTTATCTATAAACTTACGGCACATTTGGCACCACGTTCACACTGCAAACCCTTTACTTGACAACGACCAGAAAAGTGAATAAAGACCGTATGCGCGTAAAATCAATACTGACTCTGAAGAACAAGCACTTAAGAGTCTTGGCCTGGGCATTAGCAAATAATTGCAGATCTGCACAGTCGGAAATTACGTGGTTCTAAAATATCGCATTCCAGGAAACAAAATTAGTAAACCCATTCATTACATCGCTATACAGATGACTAAAATGTGGGGAAGCGCTAGGCCTCTAGGCCTCAAAGCTGCAATCATACATCCTGACAAGAAAAATATTTTCTGCTAGGCAACGACAGTTACGGCAGGTAAAAACTACAAAGGTTTTGTACCTCTATTGCAGAAACGTCGTCAAACTCCATGGCTTGGTATTCAGTGAAGATGACGTGATGGTGGTTATGGAGCTGGTCAGCGGTGGATCGTTGAACCACTACCTCAAACAACATAAGGTATACAAAACTACTGCGAAGAGACGCACCCAGATGAGACACGGCGTGAATGTGTCGTGTATAAATCATGACGACGCGACGTCGCTATTTCGCAGCATTCATACTCAGCGCTGTCCACTGGTCAACGCAGAGTATGAATGCTGCGAAATAGCCCTACCTCTTCTGGCCAGATCCGTAACCTAATCAATCAGACGGAAAAGGCGCTCATCATCTAGTTGTTAGTCTACCTTCACATAGTTATGTATCGTTCTTTCTCCTTTCTTTTCCCCTCCCGTCAACCCCATCCTTTCTTCAAGGAAGAAGAATCTAATTCAAAAACGAATTGGTTACAGCTGATGCCATTAACAAAGGCGAGTTTCTGCTATGATATTGCCGCTGGTCTTGCCTATCTACATGCCAGGAATTGCATGCATCGGTGAGTAAGAAAACGTGGTTGATTTTCAATTTGTATTATCGATACAAGACAATACAGCGGAGGATCAGAATCCCTACGAGCACTTCTAGATCTGGGAGTGTTTCGAAGCAACCCTGTCTTTCATATCAAGAAGATCGCCTTTGCCGTAAAATGCGGGACTCAAAGAATTAGAAAGGTTGCGTGTGAGCGTGTGAGCGCTTTTGTTTCGAATACAGTTGAGCACATGGCTCATTCTGGAAAGACTCAACGCGGATCACACTGAAGAGGCTAACGCACTTCGCTTCATTTATTAGTGTTAGACGGCTAAAATGCTCGTTCGAATCCCATCTTAATCTCCACCTAGCTAATTTTTCGCCCTCTCAAGTCTTAGAATGACTATATTGCTATCATTGCCTATTTCAGAGATGTAGCAGCTCGTAATTGTCTGGTCGCTACTGATGGACGGTTAGTAAAACTTTCCGATTTTGGGTTAGCAGCTCATGGAAGCCGTATCAAGCTGTCAACAACCGAAAAAGTACCGATCCGATGGTAAGCGATGAGGAAACTTACGCGAGGGTAACCACAAATGGTGGTCGCACTGCAGGCTTGAGCTGCGAAAGTCAGCTCATGCTTCATCCCCCTCGCAAATGGATCTGAAGTCAATTTTACGACCCCGAAAGGATGACGCGGTGGCTCTGCGGATCAAACCGTGATCCAGGGAGCATTTCGGTGTCGGCAGCGTCTCTTTCACCTACCCCCTCGTTGCCCATCTTATTGCTGCAGCATTTCAATGAGGAAGGGTCGAATAGTGGAAAATCCTGCTCCGTTTTCTTTCCCTGACCAGTTCTCCCTGAAAACAAACAGCAAAGCTAATAGAGCCCATCGTTACCTTGGGCTAAAAACTGCAAGAGTAACCATCATTCAGGCAAGCTCCTGAAGTCCTATTTTATTATACGTACATGCGTGAAAGCGATGTGTGGTCATACGGTATGCTAATGTCTGAAATCTATAACGACGGTAAAGTGCCATTTCATGACAAAACCATCGCCGAGGTGCGAGCAAGGGTAAGAACTTTTATCAATCAAGTGGTTCGCATATTTCAATTCTTTCTTCAAGATCCATGATCCAAATTTCCGTCCATTCGTTCCGCAACTCCCAAACTACCCCAAAATCCCGATGGTATGTTCTACCCTTTCGAGAAAAGATATCCACAGGTGCATACGCGAGCAGTTGTGGTGCTGTCAAATGAAGCACATACATTTAAAAGCTTTGGACAGCCGTGGGTAACCCTACTATGACGTGACGCAGCCGCTCGCGTCCGTGCCTGTGAGTTTCGCCTCTTTCCATTCAATATGAATTATGATTTTGCAGTTAATGCATCGATGTTGGGAGCTTGACGTCATGAAGCGACCAACAATGAAGGAAGCGGCTAAGCAGCTAAAAGGATACTGTATACAGTACGTTCTACAGCTAACATCAGGCGAAATGCTCAGCACGAAGATGCCTTCCAACTACTTTACCTAGTCTATTAACCCTGATTACTCCTTATTTTTAACAGAACTGACCGCTCTCAGATATACTTCTTTCAATCGCTGGATTCACGCTCTAAGCTAAATGAAGAATCATTTTAGTACGGTCAAGGAAAAGCCTGCAGTCACGACAGATTCGAAACAGCAGCTTATTGAACGAGTGAAAACCAGAGGTCGGATCGAGGTGAGCTCGTTGTTCAGCTCATTCAGAAGCGACAAATTTCCGCCCTTAGAAGACCACACTTTCAGGCCGTTACAGTCGGTTCGCGGATAGGACACAGGAGGCCAGCTGTGAAGCATTTTGTAGGTGTTAAATTGATGGGGAAACAAGTTTTTTTCCTCGCATCGTTCCGCTCTGTATATTCGTCCACACACTGCTTGATCTCGCTCTTGATCCATGCGGTGACTCTAGCCGGTAGGACAGTCAACACTTTTGTTGCCCCATTATATCTGTGAGCGACTTAATGGGTCTATAGAATCGAAAGCTCGCCGAGGTGAATTTCGTGCTGGAAGTTGATCCGAATGAATCTAGCAAACAAATGATAAGTCAAAAGCGTTAATTGACCGTTGACCGTCTTTCGTATTTAGAAAAATTGATTTAGGAAGGAGCTGGGGAGAAGGGGTGGAACTTAAGCGATGAAGAAGAATGAGCAAATCAGAGTTCAACTCTCGGGAAAAGCTCAGGAAAATGGGTTCAGAAAAGAAATTCTAACCCTTTAGTGCGTAAACAGATTCTGTCAGACACGTTGCTCACACGCTAGGACATCCAGAAGCACCTACAAATCCAAAGGGATGTCGGATGAATGGAACATCCCGACAATTTGTCATTGTACCCTTTCTATATTTTGTGGATGATCTACGAAAAAGGAATCATTTTCAGGTTTTATCTGCCACGCCAACGAGTACGCAGAACTCGAAGTCTTTAAGTAGTGAGGTCAATCGGTTTTCAATTTAAAAAATCCTTTCATACTTCCTAGAGAGGTGAGGAAGGGTTAAAGCCTAAGAGCTTGCGCATTGTAGAACTGATATCGATCATTTCCGCCCAAAGTCCTGTTTCTTACAATACATGCGAACTCTAATAAGGCAATCCAGACAGTCGAGTGGTCTTACGATCAGGGCGACACTCAATCTTTTTATTGCCGAGCAATAATGAATGCTAAAAGCCGAGTGATATGTATAACAGATGAATTATGACGATCGAACGTAACGGTTCTCAGATAATCACTGCTAACCAGAATCATTTCAGAATGCCAAATCGGATGTGAAGGTGGGTTCTACTTCCTTTATTTCTCCTATCAATGACGAAACATCTATACCTTCCCGGTGTAAGATAAAGTTCAAGTATGTTCCGGACGAGATTTCAAGACGAAAGGGATGCTAACGAACGAGTTTAAGCGCATCCGGCATGCTTGTATCGCGGGATTGTCGCAAGCGTCAAGCGTCTGCCTATAGTGGCCTACGGTGTCATTTGAACGAGTGCATGCACACATTCACAGCCGGCTGAGCCATGCAGTTTTTGTCTAAGTTCTCTTCAGTACTGATGAAATTCAACAGTGAAATCTGTATTCTGACCTTTTAAGTATCAAGTTAAAATGGAGTGGCCACAGGATGTGATACAACTGACCACAGGGGTTGCCAACAAAGGAGAAAACAATTGTCATAACTGTCAAAAAACATTATGACGCGATTAGTACATACCTGGATATCGTTAACAATACTAAATGAATCGATCGCCCGCGTTGGTATCTAGTCCATTCCATAAGTTTCTAAAGTCCACAGTACAGTGCAACCATTCTTACAGGCCAAAACGATCTACAGCCACTAATTTACAACTCTGTTTGTTGACAGTTGCTTACTTTAGTTACCATCTACGATGGTAGATGAAACTGAAATGGACGAGGCAGTGAAGGATTGTCGGTTAAAACCATTCGTGCCTACTAACACCGGTTCGAAAAGACAGCATGCGAGCCCGGATAACGATAATCATAAAAATGAGCAGCCAAGAAAACAAGGAGAGTTACCTAAAAGCCATGCATCGAAGTCACGAAGACAGCATGATAAGAAGAAGGACACCTCACAGAAAAAGTAGCAAGGGCTTTAAACTTCATATTACGGTAATTTTCAATATTTATCTGATTGAAAACATTCATTCCTGATATACTCGATTTCTAGGGTCAATAACGAAATGAACATGTTCGAATGCAGATTCAATTCAGTACATAGATCTTGAACAAATCTTTCTCTTTTATTATATTCAAAAACAATAAATAAATTATAAGATAGCAATCCATGACAGCATTACAATATACAGTTATGCTCACGAACATACATGAAACCATGTTTATACACTCAAGCTTCGTTTTCTTTTTCAGCTTGAGAAATCTGGAAAAAGTTTATAACATTTGCTTTTATTCAATCCTAGAGCAACAGTTCCATTCCAAACTTACCACACATTCTATTTCTTCAAGGCGTTCTCTTAAAGCTCCAATAACAGAAAAGTACTCGGCTTTGAAGGTATCCAGTTCCATGGTGTACCTATAGTAGCTCAGGATTACTAATTCTACATCAGTAGTGTTACTGTTTGGATTTAAACGTAAATAAAACAGCCTGTAACGGAAGCGCCTTTCTCTAGAACTAATCATCTCATTATACCATGCAATAGCTCTGATTTTACTATCAATTATCAGTAATCCCTAGCTACATCTCCATTTTGACAAAAACAGTACGTTTTCCCCGTCTCCCCTGACAAAAAACCTCAAAAAACTGATAGATTCGATGACTAGAAGGACGCGACGTGATAGTCGTGGTCGCTTGAATTGACCTTTGTTTAAGCACGCTTATAAGACATATCCCTATGATCATCTCAGTAATTACAAATGCAGACCACGCAAAATTTTCATAACTTTACCAAATGTTAAACAGTCTTATTACCCTAAGTATTTGCCTTCACGATTTAGTGATCAATGACAAAGAATGGACCACATTAACTTTGAAAGCGTTTTTGAAAGGAGTCTAGAATTCAGCACTCAAGCAACTCACTTCTTCCATTCTTCCAATCCCTTTTCAATGTCTTTCTGGATGGCATCCAACTCCTGTTCCTGCTGAGGTACTAATCCAATTTTGTCCGTTTTGAGGACCACCGGAAAAAGTATACAGCTAAGCTTGTATTCAAGAAGGAACTTGGAAAAAAGTTTGAAGATGCGGAGGTGATTAATTATAGAACGGTCGCCTTAGAAAGAAGATACCTCCAGTCGCTCATCGAACTCCTTGAGTAGTTCGGCTCGCTGCCGAATCAGACTTTCGCAGAATTCAATCGTTGTTAATCTTTCAGATAAAGATTGTGTAGGGGGCTGAAAGAAGGCACATTAGCTGTTGAAGATTGAAATCATACATAAAAACTGAAACGAGAAAACGATATGTAAATGCAGGGCCTATATAGCCTACAAGCCTACAGCACTGACCTTGTTTGTGAGATTCTTGAGCTTCTTCAACTTCGCAAGAGGGATTTTCATGACTCGATCTAACCCCAGCTTTGACAATCTGGCTTGCAATGCTGCTACATCAAAATCTTTCGCTTTTGCCTGTAATTCCATATAAAAACAAGACTTTCGTGACTTCAACCAAACAGTCAGCAGAGAAGGATATTTATTATTATCACTGCAATTGAGTGTGCGGGCCCGGCCAACAGCCTCCACAGTACTAAAGGTAAAGGGGAGTTTGTACGCCCATGGCTATAGCACAGGGGAAAACGGATATTATTTATATTGAACGGATACAAAACCAAAACGAATCAAGAAAGGAACACCTTGTGCTATGTCCAACTCCTTTCTACCGACAACTTTTACCCATTCCTACCACTGTGAGCCTAAACCTTCGATCACTGAGCAAGAGCCTCGTTGCAACGGAGCATATAATGCTGATCTCAGACAGCTGGATCACAGGCATCCGAGAAAACATTTACGGTGAGATAATCGCTATCGACAATATTGTATTGTTCTTTTTACTGACTTTTCGGACTAACTGCTATAGAAGGTTTCCTATCGCTTACGTCATTTATTACTGTAACCTTTTGTGCAATGCAAATGGTGGTTAAGATTATCATGTGGCTGAGAAAATGGTTATCTGCAAGATTTCTAGAAGAAACCAAGAAAAACCATGACTCACGTCTGTGCACTCGTCAATGCCCAATGCTCTCTCGATCGTAGTTATTCGATCTTCTAGCGACTCTTCCATTTCTAAAAACCCAAAACGCAATAAAATACTATCCTATCTCTATATACAAGCAAAATAAAGCTATCGTTGTTTTGAAAAGAAATAGAAGGTTAACTATGCCGTCTCGTCCAATGTCACGTCCGTAAATCACCAGAGATGCATCTACAGTAATCTCAAACACCGATTTATTTTTTCTTGACGGTCATTCACTTTACATTTTTTGCAATATTTCCCAAACAAATTTTTATTCCTCAGTCTTTCTCCATTCATTCATGTACGTTTCTTTTCCAAAAATTTTTTTATATCACTGGTTGTAAACATAGCCCTCAGACCTCAAGAATATCCTTGACTACATTTGTATTTGTCTTTCTTTTGATCTGAATGTTATACTTTCCGATCATAATACTTTTCTTTGGTCTTTGCCTAGATTTATGTACCTCGGAGTGGTATATAGGGCCAATGCGCTACATATGTTTGTCCCTGATACTGCATGCGATTCCATTGTCACTAACGAATTAGTATTCATTGACCTCAGTAGCCCGACGCCAACATGCCTATTGCATTGTAAAGCGGTATCCTGGTTTTTCCAAAGAGTAGGACTGTTTTGTTC